GAAAGTGTCATGAATGGCTTTTAAATGCATGAGTGAGATGGATAAAGGTGGATAGAAGCTAGATTAGATCAATAACTATGTGAATGAGACTTACATAGTTCTCCCTCTCTATGAGAAAAGCTTCTATGGTGTGTGTTCTAGTATATGCAAAGGCCAGGGTACAAGGAAAAGGCTTAGGTTTGAGCTGATACTAGTGAATTCTTTCCAAGCTGAGTGCTGGGATGAGGCTGCAATTGATGAAGGCATGAGTGAAGTGTTGGGTTTTCTCAGGGAGATCACAAGCCCACATTCCACAGTTCTGAGAGGGATCCCAGCTGAAGCAGCCTTTTTGGTTCAGTAACGCACTGCTTTGTATATTAACAAGAAATATAGCGAGGTATAAGTTAGAAAAGGGCAGACTGTTCCTAATTCCTGCTCTTCAAGCTGCACAGAACTACCCTGGTTGAACTAGACTGATTTGGAAGGTGTCTGCTGTGACTCTGAAATGGATCCAACTTTAAATCAGACCCGAACAGACTCAGTGTGGCCTCTGAAACCACTGAATAGATACTGAAGTCATCACTGCCCATAAGTGTGGATCTTCCTCAGAGGTCCTTGGATTGTGCAGTAAGTAAGCCCTGTTGGTGATGGGTGGCATGACTCTGGACAGGGGAAGTTGACCTGATGCCTTGTCCGTGACAGATAAAAACCTTTTCCCAAACTTTTTGATTTCTTGATTTCTTCCTCTTGCTGTGCTATGTTCCCTTCATGGACAATTTTTCTTCTGTTTCTTTATATTGCTGTCTGCCTCCAGAATGATATTGAAACACAGGATATTCAACTAGAAAAGAAGATGCCAGGTTCTCTGCAGCCTGTGACCACTGAGAGCTTTGTTTCTACTCAAAACCAGCTGCAAGCAGACATGATCGTTCAAATACAGTGGGGCTACTAGGGTCTGCTGCTGTTGATGCCTCCTCTCACTTCTTTTTCTCTTCAGTGGGTGGCTTCTGCCTCTCTACCAGAGTCTGAAAAAAATTCATTCCACTAACTGCAACTCCCAGAATCCCTTGGATGTCAGTGGGTAACTGGCCACCATATGAAGTGGAGGGGGAATGGTGACTCATATACAGCTGCCTTCCTGCATGTGTGGAAAGAGAGACCAACAATGTAGTGGTGACTTTAGAAGTAGGCAGCTAGATAGGACCATATCAAAAACTGAGGGACTCCTCTTTTCTCAAGTTAATGGCTGTTAATTGCCCATTAAAGACCAAGCCACCTTCAAGTGCTTTGCATGACAACAAGGATGCCTTGCAACAATATTTCTCTCCCAGCTACTGTCTTGATGGCAGCTAAGCTCAGAGGGAACAGGGAATCTTGGAGGGAGCAGATATTGAGGTTGAGAATCTTTTGGTTTCCAGTGCAGAGGCACAGCCTTTGCCAGAGGTTCTGCTGGATCCAGAATTTAAGGATGTCCTTTCATTTCTCTCCCCAGCTACTGTCTTGATGGCAGGGAAGCTTAGAGGGAACAGGGAATCTTGGAGGCAGCAGATATTGTCAGGGTTCCTTTTGCTCAGAAAGTCTGAATAGCAAGCTCTGGTTCCAAGACACCATTGGAAAGGAGAGATTAACAGGCAGCTGAACTAGCACACAGCCCTGCTTCCTCCAGCAGCCATTTACTTATTGTTTTCTGAATTGAGGTTGGGAATATTTTGGTTTCCAGTGCAGAGGCACAGTCTTTGCCAGAGGTTTTGCTGGATCCAGAATTTAAGGATGTCCTTTAGTTTTCTCTTCAGCATACTGTAGCTGGAACCCCAGAGTGTCCTTCTAGACTTACACAGGTGTAACACTGCCTATTAAGGAATGGCCAAAGGGAACCAGGAGGGCAAGCATCTCCTGTGGCTTATCAATCAATACACTAAAACCATGTTCCTGTCTTGCCCTCAAGGCACAAACTCATCCCCATAGAGACACAATCCCACCTCTCTTCCAGTGCTGAGTAGGGGCCAAATTAGATGATAATTGTCCATATGTCACTGGAACCAGTACATCCTTTTGTAGTGAAAAATGTCTATATTGAGGAGCCTCAGGACACAGTGGTTAAACTGCTGTACGGCAGCTCAAACTGTGCTCATGGGCTGGGGTTCAATCCCAGGTAGCTGGCTCAGCATTCACTCAGCCTTCCATCCTTCCCTGATTAGTAAACTGAGTACCCAGCTCATGGGGGGGGCGGATGTGTAGCCTGCATAATTAACTTGTAAATTGCCCAGAGAGTACTTTAAGCCAGTGGTCCCCAACCTTGGGCCTCCAGATGTTCTTGGACTTCAACTCCCAGCAATCCTGGCCAGCAGAGGTGGTGGTGAAGGCTTCTGGAAGTTGTAGTCCAAGAACATCTG